GCTTCTCCTCTCCCAGATCTGTTCTGCTTTTCAGCAGCTGCCAAATTTCCACAATTGTGCCTGTCCAGCCTAGTACTCTGCATTCCCTCTGGCCATTAAAAATGTTGTAACTTTCACACTGGAATAATTTTAGGACATTTAACTCAAACCTCCAATACAATACAGTAGTTATCTGAACCAACTATACAACCACCAGATGACCATCATTTAGACAAATCTAATAAATAATAAAGAAACTGAAAGAGAATGATTTAGTATATTAACTTCAGTAGAAGAACAATCCATCAAAAATTTGCTCAATCCATTATCATAGTCATTATTATCTTATTTGATCCATCAGTGAAAGTAATGAAATCAAGCAGGATAATTGGAGGATAATTTATACACAAGACCATATTTTTTTAAAAAATCCTTTCCCCCAATTTAGAAAGACCCTGTTAATCTGCCACAGCATGTAAGCAGTCAACATGTTAATATATATAAGGTGGATAAGAATATAGTATCAGTAGAAGGATATCTTCATGATCACCTCCTACAATGTTGGGCAATCCAGAGATAAACAATTCTGTAGCATTCAACTTTTGCTACAGCCTGAATTAGTAATTACATGGGTAGGCAGCTTTCACTGCAGAATTCAGGCAACCACGACTCTCATAAGAGCTTCCCAGGTGGTTTTCAGCAGTCTCACAGACACACTGTTTTGTAAACAGACAGGTAACATAAAAGCTCTACTAAAAGGAAGTAACTAGCCAATCATCCGGACCAAAGATGTCCATGACTTTTTAAAAAAACAAGTATATTTAATTTCCCATTAAACTTGTTTAGATTACCATCCACTGTAATGTAAATTTGCTAAACATGTAGGTATTGTTTTTAAATTCATCTTTTCTTCCAAAAATCAGAAGAGCTCTCTCAGGCACACTCACCAGCCTCTCTCCAAACAATTTGCTGGGAATGGAGGCTAGCGAGAAACCCTACCTTGAATATGACGGAACTGCATGAAATGGATGTGGAAGGCAATGCCTGATGCTCTTCATAAATCTCACATCAATTACAAAAGCAGCAGCCCTGCTGCTACCCAAGCTGACAGTGTCAGTGCGAGGACGGATGCCATCCTTGTTCCTCTCTGGTACATCGTCTCTTTCGGAGAAAAGTGCTTTCTTCGCTATCTTTAAAATTCCAAAACCAAAGGGCTGTAATTCCAAATCCAAATGTTGTGGCTAGTTCATATCCCTAATCACATCCTAAACTTAGATCATATGACCTAAATCAGCTTGTACTAATTCCTTTTTCAATATTTTTTCAATGTTAATATAAACTATTCTGACTAGTAAAAATAGATGTTGATTATTAACTGCTAATTCTGTTGCCTTCAAGGACATTTTTGCTGGACTGCTCGCCCTGGTGGAGATCTTCAGTTAATCTACTACTAAACTGGATTATCCACTGTTCTACCTCAGAGGCAGTTTCACATGATCTTAACGCAACAGCTGGTACAATGTGGGGTGGGTGAGCCTGCTTGTTTGCTTGTTCAAAAATTAGAATGGTAAGTGAAAGAGATTCTTCTTCAGCTAGCCACTTCTTTCACTTTCTAATCCAAAATAAGAAATGTTGCTTTTGCTGATTTGAGCAGTTTCGAAAAGAGAAACTCCTGCATTGTAATTGCCTAAAAATGAAAGTATACCCTGACCCTCTGTAATTACAGCTTTATTCAGCACTTGTAAAAGATGTGATGACCTGATTATCCAATGCTTCACATTCTCACTCACAAAATAAAACTATACACCACAGAAACACAGTAATATGCTTCTAAAAATACAATTTAAACAGAGTGGACAAGCTAAATACTTACAGTGTTGGCCAAATGTACAACAAGCCGCAGAAGGAAGCCAGAGAGTCTGGGGACCCACTGAAGATAAAGAAAGAAAACAAACAGAAGAGTTTATGATTGGGCGTATTAAAACATAGTGTGACATGTAGTATCAAAATGGCAACAGTCCATGCAAGAACATTTCAGCTGCCACACTGCCACTAACTTGGGGAAAGAGGATAGGCATTCTTCTTCAACAGCAAAAGTCAAAAGGAGACTCCATCACAAAACTGCTGAGCTGATGTTTTACCAGAAACCCTTACCTCTTCAAAAGAGAGATTTCTCTCCCATCAGAAGTGGCAAAAGTGAAGTGGATTCTTTTTACTTCTAGGCACCTGTTAACCAAACAACCGGTGGGTTTCTAAGCTCACCTACAAAGCACTCATGAGAAGGCAGTTCAACAACACCCATTGGTCAAACCTCTGAGCCTCTCTATTGCAAGAGCACATAGGGGTGCCCTAGAAAAAGCAACCCGGGGGGGGGGGCTCAGTCTCTGGCTTAGCACCTTCCATTGCAGCAACTGTCCAGGACAGCATGTGATGGGGTCAGGGGACACCAGGAGCACAGTGACTCCTTAGGGCTACTGTAGTGGTTTACAACTTTTCTGTAAACTGCTAATCCTAAGAGTGACTATTTGATCAAATTTGATGAACAGGAATCAACACTGTTGAATTTACAATGAGATCTTTGTCCACTCAATTCTGGCCCTCCCAACTGCACAATGCATGGCCAAGTGACACAACGCCATACTTGTCTTTTAGGTTAGGGATGAGCAACCTGTTGCTCCTCCAGATGTGATCGGACCACAACTGCCAGCATCCTTTGCTGAGAGGGCTGGTGGGTGTTTACAGTCCAGATGTTGCCCATCTGGGTTCAAAAGCCACTGAGCTCGAGCCCAGGGGTCTTTTCTGTTTTTAACCTTTAGTCCTTCCTTTGAGCACCGTCTTTAGACCAAAGAAGTCCAGGACAAAACAAGCAGCAAAATCCACCAGCCGGGGAGCAGTTTAAAAGGAGCTGGAGCAGGTTGTATTGGGCATTCATTTGCTTGGGGCGGTAAGAGACACCCTTCACCATTCTCAGTCCCCAGTGGCTCTGTCTCAAACCAAATGAATACAACTTTGCAGAAGGATGGCAAAAAAATTGACAGGGTAAACACACACACGTCCCAAGAGCAGTCTTGCAAGAGAGACAGCTCGTTTGTGTGTCTCCCCGCCCAGCTCCCTAAGGCTGCTTAGAAGGTGCGCACCTGTCTAGCTGCACCTGTCGGGTCACCAAACACCCGAATTGTGCCCCACACCACACGCGCTTTGGGGTGAGCGGCCCCAAACCAGCCGAGGGGCAGCCCCCTTCTTGAAGCAAGCAAGGAGGCGGAGAAAGGCCCACGTCGCCCGAGGCGGCCGCGGTTTACGGTTCTCGGGCTCCCGCTCCGCCTTCAGCGCGGGCTCCTCACCCCGTCGGCCGGCGGCCTTCCCGTCCCTTCGGCCCGCCCGGCCTCTCGGCGACGGAAGACGGTGCGCGAAGCCCCCGTGACGCGCCTCACGAAGCCGAGGTAGAAAAGGACGGCGGGCACCGCGGCGGACGCCACCGCCGCCACCAGCCAGCCGGTCTCCTTCATGGCCCCTGGAGAGGTCGGCCCAGTTGCCCAGCCAGAAGCCCCGTCCGCCGGTGCCTCTCCCTCCCGTTAAAGCTCGCCGAGGGGCCTCCGCCGCGGAAAGCGAAAGGGCGCCAAAGGCCTTGGTGTGAGTCGGGAGGCTTTCGTTGCCGCCGAGACTAATCTCCTCCGAGCATTTTTGAGGGACTGGCGGCGCCCGCAGGGCTGCTTTTGCTCTCGCTGTCCAGCTGCGCTCCTGCGGCCGGCGGTGTGGTTTTTGTTTTGCTTTTTCGTTGGCTGCGCCAGAAGCCCTTCCCCGCTTTCGATCGAAAATGGGTTTGGATGGAGCTGGAGAGGAACGGTTCCTTTCCTATCACGAGATACTCCGGTTCCTTTCTGTTTGTTTGTTTTTTTTTCTAAGGCAGGCGTGGCTGATGCCTCTTCTTGCAGAGATCGCCTACGACTGGCCTCTCTGTGTTAAGGGATGGGCCATCAGTTCCAAATTGCTAACGGAGAAAGGAGTACTGCAGCTATTCCCATCGAAGAAGGCCCCTCTACACCATCAGCCATGTGAATTTGGGACATAAGTTTGGAACTACCCACAAGAAGTTGATGCACAGCCTTGAAAAGGATGTTTTGTCATCGAAAGCTCGCCGTTTGCATTTTAATATTCTTAATAGTCGATTAAAGGTATCATTGGCTCCTGCAACTGTATCGTTTCCATGGCCTTGGGGCCTTTTCCTGATTTTTCCTCCAACTGTTTTGAGTTACTTTTAAGATTGCACACACTTAATGCTGTATTACTGTATGTGGGAGCGTAGCAGGAAAAAACAAAAGAAAGCATTGTGGTATCTGAAAGACTACTTAAGATATTTTAGTGTGAGCTTTTGTGCACCTTCTTAACCCACTTTCATAAGAAGCTCTACAAAAGCTTATATTAAAATATAATCTTTAAGGTGCCACACTTTTTTTTCCTGCTATGCTCAGTCAGACTAACGGGGCAACCTCTTCTAATAGTGTGGAAGAGGATAGTTCTATATCTGGCTTGTGGTTAGGGATGATAAAGCGACAACAAAGTCGAGGGAGGAGAATGTGTTTTGCCCCCCTCCCCAGACCAGCAGCTTGTAGCATTCAGTGAGATTTGACAAACAAGGTTTTTAAATTACTTTTAACTGTTGTAACTATAGGAGTAACTAACTACACAGGAGCCATTTAATTGTAAGCTTAACCACGGAGAGTCCCTAAAGAAGTATAAAATGGAGTAATATCCCGGTCACTCTTGCAGTTAAGAAACAGCTAAACCAGTCATTAATTTTCCGACGCAGGGATTACACGCCCTGGCTTCCCGCTTCAGCGCACAGGCAGCAGCAACACAGGCGCAATATTGGAATCCACGCGCTGCTCCTTTCAAAGGCCCGCGCGCGGCGATACGGCCAGGGGGAAGACGCCGTCTCGAAGCCACGCCCTGCTAGCAGGGTTGGCCAATCACGAAGCACTGGCCTTTCCCTCCCGCTAAGGAGCGCGAGTCTCCCCCCATAAACTCTACTTCCGGTAGCGGGTTCGCGCGAGGAGAGCGCGTGACCTTCCGGGCGGTGGGTCTCGATGTCCCGCTTCTTCCAGAGCGTTTCTAGGCGGCCCGTAGCAGAGGAGGAAGGAGCAAGGGTGGAAGAGGAGCATTTAAGCCAATGGGGGCTCCGCGGTACGTGAGGCTGGGCTTCGCCGTTTCAGAGCAAGAAGTTCCCCAAATAAGCAATTTGGGGCAGGGTGCCCTGAAATACAAAAAAGGGCCGAAAAATGTAGTGCCTCCTTAGTTATTTTCTCCCTTCGCCAGGACTTGGGCAGCAGAAATAGTGTCAGGAATAATCAGATTTTTTTTAAAAAAAGCTATATGCTTAAACTGGTTTTGTTACGTGCCTTGTCGTTAAGAATCCTGTTCAAGTCTTGCACTCAAGTCAATCTGGAGAGCATATTCTACCTGCCCCTTCCTATTTTCAGCTTTTCTTACTATCATTTTTCCCAGTGGTTCTAGTCTTCTCACTATGTGCCCGAAGTGTAATAGCCTCCTCACTTGAGTCATTTTTGCTTCTAGAGAGAGATCGGTCCTAATTTGATCTGGGATCCTCTTGTTTGTTTTTCTGGGAGCCCGAGGTGTCCACAAAATTCTCTTCCTACACCTTTATTTGCTGGCCTTCTGCACATTTGGAATTAATTTGATTTTTCCTTTGAGCTTTCTCCACTGGCCAGCATTCACACGTATGCATAATAATCAGAAATATCATAGTAGGAACTATCTTGGTCTTTATTAACCTGTTCTTGTATATTATTTTTTGTGGGTCTGTTTGCTTACTGTTGAATCTTGCAAAGAGACTTTCACAGAAAGGATCTCTTTTTATTTGTATTTATATAACAGAGAACATGAGCAATTGTAACAACCAAAATGCACTTGTGCATCGAAGACCTTTTCAACAGCACCAGTACAGGAGTTGCTTGTAGGATTTGCAAAGTTCCAATGTCCCTTTGATTTCAAAGTTAGACAAAATCCAAGATACAATACCTTCCTCAGTTGAGTCTTCAAAACACAGGAGAATCTTCAAATCCCTAAAGTAAAGTATAAATATAATGCCATATAATTCATGAATTTACTATATAGATTCAGCCCTCCAACAAAAAAGAGTGGTCGACCAGACCGGATGGGCAGGATATAAATCAAATAAATAAATAAATAAATAAACTTCATTCTACTGAAACCAAGTTGGAAGGGTATCAGCAGGCCAAGAGGAAACAGCAGCTCTGACCTCTTCAGTTCTGCTCTTTCTGATTCAAAAATCTATTACAGCCCTGCTCTTTCTGAGTCCTACCCCTTTAGGCTGAACCGGAATTTCATCGGGTGACATCTAGAGATGGGCACAAACCAATCAGGTGTTGTGCCATTTGGCGCCCCTCTCTGGTGGGTGTCCACTTGGAGGCAGCACTCTGGCTTTCCTGCCCCGCCTCCTCTGGTCACACCCTCTGAGTGGGTGCCTACCAGAGGGAGTGGGGTCCTGAATGGCAAACCGCCTGTTGGCTGAACTGGTACAAACTGCTGATCCTGCAGTTTGCCTGTCTCTAGTTACATCTGCTCTTAAAGAACTCTTCCCCATCAAATCTCGGCTACAGTTCCAGTTTGGATTGAGCTACTCAAAATATTTAACAATTTTGATTTCTTTATTGTCAGCGTTGGAGATATATTATTATCCTATAGTCATGACTTAACCCTCCTTAATGTCCCTCTGTAATCCTGCTTTTGTACTGTACTTCTCTAAAGTTCCTCAGTAGTCCTTCTAAGTTCTGCCAGTAATATGGTGTGAAATGCAGCACTGTTTCTGCACTATTTGTTTAAACAATCAAAATAATTTTCCTCCTTTTTTCAAATTCTTTGATAGCTCTTCTGTTTATATAGTTTGTAAGTTTAGCCATTGTAGCATATTCAGATATTTTTTTCTCTTCACTCCTCTGTTGATGGGCATAGCTCTCTTTCCCAGTTTTTACCATTATTGCCTTGGCTGTTGTTAACACATTATTTAACAGTCCTTGTGTGGACTTTTCTAGATTTCTTAGTAGTATTGCCAGGAGCATTGTCTTTGGCTTCATCTCAAATTTGTCTTTCAGGATTTCCCTCATTTCAGCATTAATGTCTTTCCAGAATTTCTGTGCCTTTTTACAAGTCCACCACATGTAGTAGTATGAGCCTTCAAGTTCCTGACACTTCCAGCAGAGACCTGTATAAATAACTTTCATCCATATTTTTTATGTATTTTGGTGTTATGTACCACTTATAATACTTTTTATACCAATTCTCTTAGATTTTGACATGTAGTGAATTTTATGTGGTTTTTTTTGTCCATAATCTTTCCCATTGTTGAAAAGAAGTTGTCTCTTTTCCCAAATTCTGCATCAACTTTAATACGTTGACATTGATTGGTTCAATTTCTGTGTCAGATTGTAGTAATTTGTATGTCCTAACCAGTCGCTCAGGTTTTTTGTGTAATAATTCTCTCAGACTCTGTTAGATTTCTTAATCTTCCCCTATTGTCTTGTGTTGCTTCATTATATATTGAATTTAATTGATCGTAGGATAGCCAGCTTATCTTTTCCCCCTATTCTATTACTTCCCATGATTTAATTCTCCCTTGTGAATCTATCATATCCTGAAAGGTTATAAAATCGTGGCACATTCTGTCTTGCTTGTTGTAATGTGCATCTGCGGGTGCCATTAATGGGCGAATCCTAAATTTTAGAGAGTCTCATGTTTCAGGGGGTTATCCCTGAATATATGCTTTTATGGTGAGATTTAGTTCTTTTTTGCCTCCATAAAAGATTATGTAGGCCTTCACTTTGGTTTGATGATTCCAGTTTCATTAACCTGTTGTTTGGTTTTTTTATCCAATCTAAAATCCATACTAAAACTGCTGCTTGATAATGTAATTTAATACTAGGCACTGCTAGACCTCCTTTTTTCTTTCCATCTTATAATACTTTGAATCTTATCCTTGGTTTTTTTTTACCACTCCATATAAATGTATTTATTTGTTTTACTAGTCTTTGGCAATTTTTTTCTTGAATTGCAATTGGAATCATTTGAAATAAAAAGTTAGTTTTTGGTAGTACGGTATATTCATTTTTATAGCGGATATTTTTCACAGCCAAGAAAGTTTTAGATTGTCCCATTTTTAAAAAATCTTTCTGTATTTTTCCCCATACTCCTCTGAAATTATCTTCAAACAATGTTTTATTAATTCCTGTTAAATAAATACCTAGATACTTTATTGGTTTATCTGTGATTTTACAGCTTGTAAGTTGTATAAGATCACTTTCTTCTTGTTTTGTTAAACGTTTTGCTATTATTTTGGTTCTTGTTTTATTAGTTTTAAAGCCAGAGGAGAGCCCAAACTTTGCTATTTGTTCCATTATTTGTTGCATTGAACCTAATGGGTTAGAAAGAGACAAAACATCATCATCTTTCATTCATTCATTCATTCATTCATTCATTCATTCATCCATTCATTTATTTATTTATTGTATTTATACGCCGCCTATCTAGTCATTTCGACCACTCTAGGCGGCTTACAACATAAAATTTTTTTATAACAATTAATTAATTAAATGATTCTGCAATGGGAAAAATACAAAATAAATCAAAGAGAGAAAAAAAGGAAAGAGGACAGGAATTAACTGGAAGGGAAGGCCTGCCTAAACATCCATGTTTTTAGTTGGTTCTTAAAAGTACCCAGCGAGGGTGCAGCGCGAATCTCC